AATAGTCAAAATAGCAAATCTAATGAAAAGCACTCACTTGCTCTAGAGAGAGAAACTGGTTTGAAATCTAGCGGTTCAAATAGCTCCAAACCAAAAGAATGCTGAAAATACACACTTGTTTGTCTTGCAAACGAATACCACACAAAATAAAATGAAAAACATATTTTACGCGGATTCTGGAGCCACTGACCACATGACATTCCAGAGGGAGCTACTAAAGAATTTTCGGGAATTTTCCACTAATGCATGCCAGGTAAAAGTTGGTGACGGTCGAAGGCTGGACGTTTGCGGTATCGGAGATATTGAAGTGTATGCAATGAATCAGGAGAAGTTTATTCATACAATTAAAGATGTGCTATTGGTGCATGAACTTGATAGGAATTTTTTGTCTGTTAGCAGAATAACCGAGAAAGGTATGAGAGTAGTTTTCGAAGAGGGTGCAAAGCGCGTTTGCTTTATGAAATCTGATCGAGTAATAGTTGACGGCGTGCGTGAAAATCGTTTATATAAGATGAACATGGTTCCTATCTTGGACGCAACTTTAAACACAGTGCAAACTGAATCAATCATGCTTTGGCATCAGCGTATGGGCCATGTGAACTTCAAAACATTAAAAGAAATGATGTGCAAGAAAACAGTAGACGGATTTCAAATATCCGGGCTCTCAACAGAAATACCGTTCTGCGAGGGGTGTGTATATGGCAAACATCATCGCAAGAGTTTTCCGAAATCAGGGGCAAAACGAGCAAGTTCACCAGGAGAAAGATTTCATGTAGATCTATGTGGAAAAATGAGTGAATCATCAATTGGAGGTGCTAATTACTTTATGCTCTTCAAGGATGACTTCAGTCGATATTGTTTTGTTTATTTCCTTAAAAATAAAACTGATGTTTTATCAAAGCTAATGACGTTCTTTGCAGATGTTCAAGCAGATGGCCACAAGGTTAAACGGTTGAGAACAGATGGAGGTCTAGAGTTCTGCAATGCGGAAATAGACAATTTCTTGTTGAAACAGTGTGTGAAGCATGAGGTGACTACTCCAAGGGCGCCTCAACAAAATGGTTTCATTGAACGACAAAATCGTACTGTGGTAGAACATGCTAAAGCAATGCTGCACGAAAGAAACTTACCACCTTATTTGTGGGCAGAAGCCACACATACCGCGGTGTATTTAAGAAATCGCATTGCATCTGACGTTATTGGTGGCTGCACCCCCTACGAAAAATGGTTTAGAACGAAGCCCACAGTAGCTCACTTAAAAGTGTTTGGCTGCCAAGCTTTCGTACATGTACCGAAAGAACAGCGAACGAAGTGGGAGCGAAATTCACTAAAATGCATAATGGTTGGATACAATGATGACAGCAAAGCTTATCGCATATATGACTTGGCGAACAGAAAATTGCTAATAAGAAGAGATGTAATTTTTAATGAAAATAAAGAGAGTTGGAATTACATAACAGAGCAAAAGCAAAACGAGTGTAATGAAACGGACGACATTGCTGTAGAAAAACGTAAAACTGATAGTGATGCGGGAAGTGATGTCGAAGCAGTACGCAAAAATCCGAGAATGCCTATTTTTCGAAGCCCATACAATACCAGAAGGGCAGCTAAGCAGCAGCCTGAGGACAATAATAGCTCGATTGATGCAGAATTGTGTGTCGCGGATTTGGAACCACTTAACTTAGAGGAAGCTATGCATGGTGATGATGCGGGTAGGTGGTTAGAGGCGATTAACGACGAGCTTGACTCTTTGCACAAAAATAAAACTTGGACTTTGGTAGCGCGCACAAAGGGGATGCATGTCATATCAAATCGATGGATATTCAAACGGAAATACGACTCGAATGGTGACATTGATAAATTCAAGGCGCGCTTGGTCGTTCGTGGATGCTCACAAAAGGGAGGTATTGATTATAATGAAATATATTCTACCGTAGTTAGGTACGATTCTGTGCGGACAATACTGGCAATTGCAGCGGCGCTTAATATGGATATTTTCCAATTCGATGTAAAGACAGCGTTTTTGCATAGAGAGTTGGATGAAGACATTTTTATGGAACAGCCATATGGATTTCAGAAAGGTAATGATGTGTGTCATTTGCGAAAAGGATTGTATGGATTGAAGCAAGCGTCCCGTCAATGGAATAAGAGGATTGTTAAGTTTTTAGTTAGCTTCGGGTTCAAACAAGCAAAGTCAGACACATGTGTTTTTGTTTACAACCAATTGATTTCAACAAGTTATCTCGCTCTTTATGTCGACGATGGACTATTATGTGGAAATGACATAACTTGTATCCAAAACCTTTTGAGGGCTCTACATGATGAGTTTGAAATTACTTACAGACCAGCAGAATTCGTTGGAATGCAGATAATGAAGAATGATAAGAAGCTTAAAGTATTTCAACGGGTTTACACAAGCAAAATTTTAGAAAAATTTAATCATGACAATTG